AGTCTGTGCCTTTGGGGGAAGAGATTAACCCCTTCTTTACAGACTGCATGAATTACACAACAGCGATCCCAGTGTAATGCACATTACTCTGTAGATATTATGTACAACATAAATAGCATTACCAGGCTTTATAATTTTTTTTATTTTACGTGAGTAATATGAAAATACAGTTTTGAAAGCAAAAATCAAATCCAACGTTGTAAATTGAGATGCCAATCTGTGAAATGTCATAACTTTTTCATGTAGATTACCTGTGAAAAAAAGAAAAAAAAGATGCAAAGATATTAGTATTTATACACAATTGTTGTATTGGCTCTGGAGAGTTTATCATGTATAGAGCTGTGTGAATGTGCTGCTCAAGCAGTATTCTACCTTCATAACCTTGCTCCAGCTGTGCCTATCTATGATCACTTACTGAATGTAGTCCCCACATAAATACTGTATAATAAAAGGCAACTGTGCATACCATACAATTGTCCTTTCATCAGTTCCACCCACCCCCTTAGTGCTGTCCACCAGCCTAAATACTTACCTTCTTCCAGGCCCTCCAGCGCAAATGTACCGGATAGATCTTCCCCTTAGTCAAGATTACGTGGCATGGTCCCATTTCATTTCTATGCGTAAACCATACTCATGGTGGCCTCCAGAGATCCTGCAATTCATGGCTTTCCCATAAGAATAAATTGAGCTGTTCTACGCATCCGCACTAAGAAGAGGACACCTACGCTAGGAAGGCTGTGCAGCACTGGCAATAACACTGAATCTTGAATAAACCAAATGAGTAATCTCTATACAGGTGAATTTTTTTCCCCCAAATCAAAAATTATTATTAATTTTATATGAAGACCTTACCATGCTAGAATTATTTATGTCCGTAGAAGCACCAGATGGTCTCGGGAATGCTGGAATCGTAGCAGCAGCCTTTGGAGAGACAGTCCTTGGAACTGATGTTGGAATATCCACAGTCCTTCCTCATTTTGTGGCTGACAGAGCATCCTGCATACAATACAGCCAATGCAACAATGTATTTAGAGGAAAAGACCGAAACTCTGGCATGCTGTCCACTCAAGATGGAATGGAGGGAATAAGGAAGGGTTTATTTGTCCTGGTGACCATTCTCACTGGACTGACACTGAGGGAAAATACAAAACTTTGAATTGTCACCAGAAGAGAAATAGAGAATAAATTCTCCAATGGGGACACCAATTCCTGTGACGGCTGACTAAGAGGGAATTTCCCTCACCTTGCAGAGTTTTCTTTTCACTTCCTGGTGTGACTATGCTGTAGGAAATTAAGTGAAATCTCCCCAGTGGGGTCCATAGATGGTAAAAAAAAGTTAGTTGTAGATAGTGTGGGGAAGTATTAAAACTAGAGGTGCGCCTACACTTTTCGGCACCTCAGGCCGGTGGGGTTGGGCTGTGGTTGTGCTGGTGGTGGTCTTTATGGGGGTGCCGGAGGTGCATGTTACTGTGTGTTTGGGGGTTTGGAAAAGGGAAGTGCTAGAGGTGCACATTACCATGGGGGGAGAAAATGGGGTGCTGGTGGTACCTCTGGCTCCAGCTCTGTCTGGCAACCCGCCAAGCTCATTGACATCACTGGCTGCCAGGAGCTGGCCAGGACACCAGTCAGAGCATCCTGCTCATCTCCTGGCAACCAGTGATGTCAGTGAGCTGGGCGGGACGCTGGCCAGAGCGTCACAGGCTGCTAAGAGCACACCTGCCTCCCTTTCGTGACAAAATGAGATGCTGCCTGGGACAACTGTCTCATGTTCTGTCATTATGGGATGGCCCTGATAAAAACCCCAAGTTGGGTTTTAACTGCTATCTAGGACTCTATTACAGAGATTTCTGCTTACTTCCTGTCCTGCAACAACATTTTAAGCATGGAGCCAGCTTTCTGGCCACTCAGGAAGCCGGGGGGCGGGTAATGACTCGGTGCCTGGCTTCCTGATTTTCCACCTTCCCGACCAATCAAAGCTGGGCATTGAGTCATTACCCACCCCTCCGCTTCCTGATTTGACAGGAAGCCAGCTCCATGCTCCCTGGTGCAGCGTATAATGACTCACCGCCCGGCATCGGAAGCATTACGAATATCGGTATCGGTGCATCCCTAATTAAAACCTACAGTATATCTATGTGTCTTTATCGTGTCCCGGTGACCCCTGTTCGCCATAGTTCTTGTCCTGCTATCACAAGGATGGACAAAATACAGGGGGTTCTCCGCAGAGGAGACACAGACAGCAGAATAGATCTGAAAGAGATTCATACCTTTCCCCATTGAGCTAAACTGAGGTCACATGGCTGCCTAGTCAGCAGTAACGTCGTACCTTTGTATTCCGGGTAGAAGCACCAGTTGAACCCGGGAGTGCTCGAATCAAAACAGCATCCACTGTCATAGCAATCCTTAGCGCTAATTCCATGATGGCCACAGTCTGTCCGCTGCTTGGTGCTTACGCAGCACTGATCTTCATCTAGAAAACAGTAGAAGTTAAGCACAATGAATGCACACTCTGGACATGCACTGTCCTTCCTCCCTCCAATGCATAGAGATGACAATTCAAACAGTTCCCTATCTATGAAGAGGCGTTGCTCCTTTTTTGAACCATCCGCAGCATGAAAAAGATCAGGGCTTGGTGGACGGGGGCAGTACTTTGACTCAGCATAACTCCGCCTCTTTATTAAAATATCTCCTGACACTTAGGGGTCTATTTATAAGCCATTGGCTCTGCAAATCTCTGTGAATGTTCGTTCAGTGTGAATGCATGCAGATTTACTTTATGTTGAATGTACACTGCCTGACCAAAACAAAAAGTCACGCGCTAATGTTTTGTTTGACCGCCTTTAGCGGGGATTTACGAGTGTAACACCCTGCAGATCACTTCTATCATCATCCTTTTATGCACCAGCACGTTAAATAAAGAATTTGGAGGACGATCATCAACCCTTCAAAAATATTAGTTTATAGTTTACACTGTATAATGTGTGGTTAAAGATTTTGGTTTCATCCACTCACTGTACACCTCACGGTTTATATATTTATAGGTTTGTATATCCAGACAGGGGATCGCATTACCCCAATTACTTTGCATATAGTTGTGGCACACATTGTGTTTAATGTTTTATGGACATTATTGATTTCACTGTTAATATTGGTTTATAAGTGGTACCTTAATCCTAAGGGTACCTCATTTTCACTCTTTATTTTATTTTTCATAATAAGTTTGTGTGTGTATTCACAGTCCTGGAATAAGGACCAGTGAGGAATTTACATTTATCACTGCACTTGATAGTGTCCCACTTATTTTATTTTATTGTAAACACGGAAGGGGATTTAGCATCGCAAAAAACCTTTATTCAACTTTTTAGGGCTTTCAGCCTGTATTGTGGCAGCTTTTGGTCTCCCACCTCAACTTTTCTCAGTATTAGCAAATTCTCCATAAGCGCAGATCAACAGATTATAATACATAGATAGATAGATAGATAGATAGATAGATAGATAGATAGATAGATAGATAGATAGATAGATAGATAGATTATATAATATAGATATAATAATTATATTATAGATAATAATTGGTTAAACCCGTTTATTTTTTTTTTTTTTACCATTTCTTTTTTTCCTAAATAATTATAAGTTAAATGCTTGAGAGAAATGTTAGCATATTGTAATACTATTCGGCAGTTACATTAAATGGCATTTAGATTACAAATTTATTTTTTGTTAAATTTACATTTTTTCTGCTCAGTGCATGAGAACAAAAGGAAGGACATTTGGATAGGAAAGACAAAAGGATTTGTTTCCAAGGGATGGACACTTGGCCTGCTGCAGTTTAGAACTCTCGCTATGCAATAGCCAGACTCGTTAATCATTGATACTTTGCAACTGACAGCTTAAAGCATAACTCGGGGGGACAAAAGACTTTCATTTAAAAATATCACTGAATAGCCACAAATGATATAAATCCACTTCGTGTTGCACCAAATGGTTTTGCAAATCTAGATGTTACGTGAGCAGGCCTCACCCACTACAGAAAACTAGATAAGGGGGTGGAGACAAGACTCGTCACCCTGCCCAAGGAGAGAGAGCAGCAGTGAGCGGTCTTTATTACAGGAGGGGGCAGAGACGAGACCAGTCACCCTGCCCAAGGAGAGAGAGCAGCAGTGACCAGACTTAAATACAGGAAGCTTCAAGTTTTACACCAGATTACTGGTACAGATCTGGAAGAAATATACAAAGCCCACGAAGATTCCAGGAAGAATACACATGACTCTTGTATGAGGACAATATTTGCTTATCCTGGAGTACAGATTTAGGAGGAGATTTAGCACTGAACAAACACCCATCCCAAGATTATAAGGTAAAGTAGTATTAAAGGAGAACTATGAGGTGAGTGCTTTTCACTCATCCTCATAGTTCTAAGCCGACCTGTGACAATGAGACTGTCACAGGTCGGCTCAGTAGATCGGGAGGTGAGCGAATACATACCGGCGTTCGCTCACCTCTCGATCCTGTCACGGCTCTCTGTCGTGACAGGTGAGGGGCTAGATTCCCCCTCCCCGCTCCGATCTGCCAGCGCTGACTGGTGGATCGGACGGGGGAGGGGGCGGGTACAGCTGGCTCTGAATCGATATAGGCAGAGCCAGCTGTCAGTCAAGCAGCTGGACGGATCCCGGCACAATTGTCGGGATCCGCTTCAGCTGAGGCGTCTCAGTATACCGCGAGCAGCAGCCCGCGGTATACTGAGCCTAGGGTGACGAGAGGACACTGTGTCCTCCTATTACCCTAAGGAGAACTATAGGGAAAAGACTTAACCCCATAGTTCTCCTTTAAGGTCTGGGCGTTTTTTTACCTTAATGCATTCTCTATTCCCCCGAAGTTGCGGGGAAGGATACTGATGGCAGAGGAGCCATAGGCTCCTTCTGCCATTAATCAAAGAAGGAAGGGGCGTGGCCTGCCTCAGGGCTGTGTGTGTCTATGGCCGCACACAGCCCCTGCAGGGACGAGCGAGGACGAGTGCGCACAGGTGCCTCCATTAAAACGATGGTACCCGTGCAGGGGGCAGGGGGAAGAGCAAGGCGGGGACACACTAGAAAACGAGGAAAGAAGTACTTAAAAAAAAAAACAACCACCTCCAGCAAAGGAGGGTCTCCTTAAAGGAGAAATTAAAAACTATTTTTGGCTTTAATATCACTTTAAAAAATAGCAGCAGATTCCCTTTAAAAAGTCCCATGTGACCTCCCCCCTTGATCTATCCATCATATGGGAATAACACTGTAGTCATGTTGTTTCTGTACCCATCCACCATTATGGTCATTGGAAATAAGATTGGAGTCACTTTGTGTCTGTGCCTATCCATCAGTGTGGTCATTGGGAGTAAGATTGGAGTCATGTTGTTTCTGTGCCTATCCACCATTGTGGTCATTAGGACTAAGACAGGACTCATGTGGG